GCGACGACGCCGACGGCAAGCGCGCCGCGGCGGCCGACGCGCGCGACGCGGCCAACGCGGCCTGCGACGCCGCCCGCCGGAGCGCCGACGACCTCGCCTTCGAGCTCCAGCGGTCGCGGCGCCTCGGCGAGACGCTCCGCCACGACGCGGGCCGCCAGAAGGACGTCGCGGACGCCGTCCGCGACTTGTGTGGAAATCAAATCTTCAACCCGACTTCAATGTGCGCGTATGCGACCGTTTCGACGCAAGGCTTTCTGCTGTGCTTCGAGAACTCGATGAGAGCAATCGATTCGTCCAAAAATTAGCCGAATCGACTTCGATGTGACCGAGCTAGAGAATTCTGAAGTTTGGCGGGGACCCCCCAAACCAGTGGTTGATTTCCACACAGGTCCGCGATCTGTCGCGCGCCGCGCGCGACGACGCGCGGAGCCTCAAGCGCACCCTCGACGCGGCCTTCGACGCCCTCGCGGCGAAGCTCGACGAGGCCGCCGCGCCGGAGCCCGAGTCGGCCGGCAGCCGCGCGGGCGACACGTTCGTGCCCGACAGCCAGCCGGCGCTGCCCGCCGACGGCACGCAGGGCCCCGGCGACAGCCAGGGCCCCGGCGACAGCCAGGGCCTCGCCGAGACCCAGTTCCAGCCCGCGGACAACACGTTCCGCGGCGTCCGCGGCGCCGAGGCCCTCGTGCCCCTCCAGCGGGCCGCGGAGCGCGTCGCCGAGGCGCGCGCGTCGTCCGAGGACGTCATCGTCCTCGACGACGAGGACGACGCGACGCAGGCGCCCGTCGCGCCCCACCCGGCGAAGAAGCTCCCCTTCGACTACGACGCGACCCAGGACGAGGAGTCGCCGTCGAAGAAGGCCAAGATCGCGCACGAGAGCCCGCTCAAGAACGCGGCGCACGCCGCGCCCTGAAGATACCCCCCGGCGGACGCGCCCAAGTCTCGAGAAGATAAGAAGCATTACACGCGGTTGTAGGTCGACGCCGACGCGGTCCGGGCCGCGTGGTCGAGCGCGTCGTCGCGGCTCGCGGCGCGGCTCGCCGCGGCCGGCGCGTCGTCGCGGAAGAGCCGCTTGATGCCGACGCGCTGGCGCTGCTTGCCGTAGTAGCGCACGGGCGTGAAGAAGTTGGACACGAGCATGGACGTGACGACGGAGATGACGAGGAGCGGGAAGACGACGGGCATGAACGCGGGCTGCTCCTGGCCGGCGGACTGCGAGAAGCTCTTCGCGGTGACGATGAGGATGAGGGCCGTGGAGATGGGCGTGCGCGTGACGCCGCACTGCGTCGCGGCCATCATGCAGAGCGTCAGCGCCGGCGACCGCGAGTGGGCGACGAGGTGCTGCATGGCCCGCGCGCACGACGCGCCGACGACGAACAAGGGGTAGATGATGCCCCCCGGGAAGCCGCCGCCGAGGCTGAGGGCGATGGCGAGGATCTTCGCCGCGGCGAGGCCGAGGGCGCCCGTGTGCGTGATGCGCTGGCCCTCGGACTTGGTCCACGCGAACTCGTCGAGCGCGTCCGACCGCCAGACCCACTTGAGCGGCGTCTTGCCGTCGTCGATGATGGACTGGAGCTGCTCGTCGCCCCAGAAGAGCGAGTGGGGGAAGTAGACGCCGATGGCGCCGATGAGGGCGCCCGTCGCGACGCGGAGCGCGAGCCGCGCGGCCGCGCCGCGCGCGGCGCGGCCGCCCGGCTTGCACCGGTCGTCGTCGTCGGGGTCGCCCTCGGCCCGCTTCACCGCCGCCGCGCCGGCCCACTTGCTCCAGCGGAAGAGGCCCGTGAGCGCCACGGCGAGGAGGCCGCCGGCGAGGCCCGTGCCCAGCGACACGACGAGGTCGACGAACGGGCTCTCGGCCTGCTCGTGGCTGTAGAGGTACTTGCCCCGTAAAGCCTCCTGGAGCAGGAGGCAGCGCGTGAAGAGCGCGGCGACGGACGCGATGGCCGCCGGCGACAGCGCCTCGAAGTACTGCATGCCCGAGACGCCGTCGTGGGGCGTCTCGAGCGCGAAGATCGCGCCCGCGAGCCTGGGCGGCACAAGAGTGATTCAACGTCGCTTCAACGTGAGTGTTCCGCGCGCGCTCGTTCCGAAAAAAACATCCACGCTTCGAGACCGTTCCGAGAGATGATCGCTCGTCCAAAAATCAGCCGAAACGAGTGGAAAACGGCCGAGATATGAGCCTTTGAAGTTGGGAATTTCGCTCTCTTGTGCTGCCCTGCCGCGAGCGGCATCGAGAAGAACGCGGAGAGCGCCGCGCCGCCGCCGGCGAGGGACATGACGCGGATGGCGTGGGCGTCGCGGTCGCCGAACCAGACGCGCGCGAGCTTCGCGCCCATGATGCCGCCGAGCGTGACCATGGGCGCCTCGGGCCCCACGGAGATGCCGCCCGCGGCCGTGATCGTCGTGAGCGCGATCATGGGCATGAAGTTCCTCGGCGTCGGCGCCGGCGCCTTTAGCGGGCGGTGCACGCTGTCGATCCACTCGTCGACGTTCGACGGCGACGCCAGGCACTCGCCGAGCAGCGACACGACGAGCCCCGTCGCCGCGCAGATGGCGATCGCGAACCACCAGGGCGTCGCGGCGCCGAGCCGCCGCGGCACGGTGACCCAGAAGCAGCGGATCATGTTGCGCAGGACCATGTCGTAGATCGACGCCATGGCGCCCGCCAGGATGCCCACGACGAGGGCGCCGCTGTGGAAGACGAGCGTCTGGCGCCCCCGGCGCCTCGCGTCGTCGTCGTCGTCGTCGTCGCTGTCGTCGCGCGTCGACTGGAAGTCGTTCGACGCGCGCCCCAGCCAAGACGCCGAAAACGACGGCCGCCGGCTCCCGTGCGCCGGGTCCAGCGGCTCCCAGAGAGCATTCATCGTCCTCGAGCGAATGGGAGTCGAGGCCGGGCTGCCATACGGCACTGCGACGACAACGACGACATCGAAGGGCATCTTTGCGCCTCGCACCGCTCGACGCATCTTCACAAAACAACTCGTCTCGAAGGTGAGAGCGTTGAGAGCCGAGCAATACCGAGCGGTTCGACAGATCGCAAAACGGATCTCGTCGTAAAATCCACGTCGGCCTACGAGCGCCACCTCGCGTCCATCGAGCACGAGGCGAACCGCATCCAGGACGAGAAGGTCGTCAGTCATGCCCGCACGCGCCCTCGTCCTCGTCGCCGCGCTCGCCGCGAGCGCTCGCGCCATCCGCACGGACCTGACGGGCGTCCACCTGAAGATCACGAGCGTCCACGACGGCGACGGCCAGTACATCAACATGCTCACGCCGGACCTCACGACGGTCACGAGCTCGACCGAGTGGACGGGCTTCTTCGTCGACATGATCGACGCCGTCGCGGCGCACGCGGGCTTCACGTACTCGCTGCACGCGGCGTCGGGCGACGGGAGCCGGTGCCGCGAGGGCGACTCGCCGGCGCTCAAGGCGACGCAGT